ATAAGAATTTTAGGAAAAGGTAATAAAGAAAGACAGGTTTTTTTACCGATTTGATTAACCATTAAGTTTGAAAAGAATAACTCTGATTATTTTTTCCTTAATTCACGAGGTAAACCTATTAAAGCCGAATATATTCGCAACATGATTAATTTACGAACTAAACAGGCGGGGATTAAGAAATTAATCACCCCTCATACTTTCAGAAGAAGTTTTGCGACTTTACTAAACAATAATGGAACTCAGTTAACTACCATCCAGAAATTATTAGGTCATTCTCATATTACTACTACTGCCTCTTACATTCATAATGATTATGAAACTTTGTTTGCTGATTACTCTAAATTATGAAAGAATAACCCTCATTTAAGCCAACTATAACCAACAAATCATGAATGATAATCAATTAACCATCATCATCTGACTTTTAGGAGGAATCATGGGACTTATGTTCCTTATTTATCTTAAATTATGAGACATAAATAGAAAACTCTCGCGAGTTAAGAAGATCTACCAAGAAATTGAAGAAGATGAGGATGATGAATGATAATTTAAAAAAACTATGCCAACTTACCAATGTAAATGTGGAAAACCAGCTAACCAATTAGTGCTAATTAAAGGATCTACTTATTATTTATGTGACCAGCATGTTCAAGAATTAGAACAACTTTTGGGAGAAAAACTGGAACCACTAACGAGAAAATATTATGAACCAAGAATTTAAAGTAAAAACTTCGATCACGGATATCGAAGAAAAACAGGACAAAAACAATCACCGTTTTTATAAAGTTTGAATTAATTGAGAATTAGGAAAACCAAGAGTATTTTATGCTTTTAATAATGATTTCAACTTACAAACGGAAACCTGGCAGTTATTAACTAATTCTCCCGAGAAACTGATTAACCAACGAGTAAGTATTACTTATCAAGAGTTAGAGAACCAAGATAAAAACGGAACTTTTTGCCGAATTAAAGCAATTGAAATATAACCCTATTATAACCCTATATTCAAGAGAGTTTTAATAAACTCTCCCAGATTTAAGAATATGACTAAATACGAGAAGCTAATTGAAAAAATCCAAACAGCCCAAAAAGTTAAGGATGTTCTCAGCGAAGAAGAAAGAGAATTATTGGAAGAAGCCTTAATCACCTTGCAATTTTTAGAAACTATTTTTGCTGTGCGAGCAAGAAACTTAAAGAACTAACTAACTATGAAACATTTAAAGCAATAATGAAATTCAAATATAATTTTTTAGAAAGAAAACTTTATAAACTAGAGGGAGAATATTCTTATGAAATTAGTGAATTCAACCACCCTCTTACAAGTAATATGGTAACTACCTTTAAGTTAGGTGAAAATCGATGATTATTTCTTAGTTTTTCTGATCTATCCCAAACTAAAATTACCTTCCATTATTTTGAGAATTCTGGAAACCACGAAGTAATCAATTATGAAAAGAAAATAAATCTAGGTAAATTCCAAGTTGAAACTATTTTTGAATTTACGGAACAAGACCTAATTAGCC